TTTAAGGGCGGTCAGTTCGACTCCGGGCCGGATTTTTCACGGGCGATGTGCTTCTTATTTTTCCGGAACGGATCAAAGAACCTCGAATGTCTCCGAGAAAAGAAAATGATAATAAATATTAAGTATGAACGCACACGCGGATAGAAAAAAAGGGAGAGTGGCCATTAAGAGGAGATCTCATGGTCCGAAAAATCGTAATTGGAGCGAAGGGCCTGAAATTACCCGAATATAAAAATCCAGACGTAAACTTAGAAACATCCCTTAAAGAGTACATCGAGCTTCTCATACTGAGGATTAAGGTCCATAGAAAATGAATTCATAATAAGTTAGAAGAGCGACAATGTTCCCGTAAAATTGACAGGACAAAGTCGGGGATAAGAAAGCTGACAGAAATAGGTAGAGAGAACTTTTCTCGGCTATTGTTCCCGGTTTTCGAAAAACTCCGGAATTTTTTCCTCGCCTTCGAGCTCGACGACCGAGGCGAGCATTACGTTACTTTTCCCGAGGTTTCCTTTCTCGCCGTGAAAAGGATAGTTCCGCGATGAAGGAACTTGACCGGAAACGGAAGGACGTTCCTCATGGGAGATTCTGCCCAGGAGCTGTCCCAGCAGAAGCTGCGAAATTCGGTTGCCACCGATTTATTTACTTTCTGGGAGATTTACCGACACCTGGCCTGTTAGGAAAGCGGGCGAATTCCTCGGGAAAATCGCGGACGGGATATTTGACGAATATGTTTACAGGATTCGGCTCCTGCGACGTGATTTGTGGGACTCTTGGGCCATCGGCAACAAAGTGCCCGACACTTGAGATGTATAGGTCCAGGAGACAAATCGTGGGAACGGATGCTGCCGCAAGTGGGTCTTCAACTTTTATTCCGTTTCGAAAACGCGTGTCTAAAAATGGAGCAGGACATTATTAAGTCTCCGGGCAAGGACCCTGTTATTCCTCGAAAATTCTGGGTGTGCAAGAAATCGATGCTTTCCTATTCTTATGTCCTTTTTTCCGCATCCGTGGTACATTGAACCGCAGGGGGCGATCCTTCCCGAGCGATAAAATCGACCTCTGGAAGATCACTGAACTATAATTAAATATAGTTATCCACGGGTCTCGAGAGGAACGATGGAGGGATAAGGACTCACCTAAAGATCCTGGGAATCCTTCGGCTTGTTTGCTGAGCCGAGCTTTTCGAGCTTTCCGCAAACAACACCCTCTCCAACTTCCTGGTGTTCAGCTTGCGGACATATACATTTGCGCCCCGTTCCCGAAGACTTTCCTTGCGAGCACCCCAGTGTGAAAAGGTGGACGTGATTATTTAGGGCCTCCGGTAAGCCGAAGAACTTAATTACGGGGCCCAATTAACCTTTTTCGAGTTTGACCAATTGCCGAGCAGGATGTCCTGGAGGGAAAAAAAAAAGGACGACCGGGTACGAACGTGTCCAAACGAAACCTCCAACAATGGACTAATCGGATCTTTACCTTGACTCTTATCAATGCATCGGACATACCAAATTGTCCCATTGATTGACATGAATTTACCAATAATTCATAGGTAATCACCTTTCCTTCCGTTTTGCCCTCTTAGCTTAATTTCACATTTGGATTGTCGATGCTGTAAAGAGATGCAAGAATGGGATGCTTGGCACCATTTTTCAGAATTGCCCCGCGAGCATAATTTGCCAGTACCCTGTTTACCAGGTCGTAAGCAATATTATGGCCGATATTTGGCATCCTTCGAAGCATTATCTTCGATATGACCCAGTATTTGCATACGTATGTTTAAGGATAACGTTGCATCTTAGCCTTTGACTTCCCATTTTGTCGAGTTACCATACTTATCACTGGGTGCTCGGAAAACTGCTTCTGAAAAATTTATTGCGGGTGATTATTGACTCACATTTCTCGTTAAAAATTAGCATCTAATTTCGGAGTTACAGAAACGCAAGATTTATGTTACGTCAATTCTGTGGATTTTTGGTCCAGTTATGCAGCTCGCCAACTCGCTCGGTCGAGTCGCCAGATTTCCGTGACTTCGTTCCCCGTTTCATATCGGATGCACCAACAAAAAGCAATCCGAATATTCCCGAAAGCTCTGTACACGGTTGCAGTTTATTGAAAGGACCTCGGTCGTCCCAGGATACCCAGGATAACCCGTAGGAACTTTTCGCTTCATATCTCGTATCTATGCACCTGCACCTAAGTACCTCGACGCGTTCCATTGAGCACATGTACACATACGTACATACATGCTCGAATTTACGAAATCTCGTATCGGGAAATCGCAAGATAGAATCGATTTTCAGGCGGAATCGGAAATCGTTGCGATTCGGTGAATTTCAGTCGCGCGTTGAAAACTTGTGAGATTACGAGCGGAATAAAATTCCAGACTGAAACGTAAAATTATTATTAAAAGACATCCAATATCGCCTGGTACTGAATTTTTTGGTACGATTTTTTTCTTTTGACAATTATTCGTAAAATAAAACGAACGGCAGATATTTCTATAGCCGATCGATTGAACGCGGAATTCCGAAATTTTACGAATTCTCGCCTGGCGAAGGAAGTCAGGGACAATCTCGTTATTTGGGGGGACAATGAATTTATTAATAAAAATTCTCCTTCGATCATAAATCGTCGTTACGACGGATATCTAAGATTCCCCCGATAAGGAACGCGTATATACGAACCTACACGTGCAGCATACATTTATGTATGTATACCTTCCATTTGACTGTCAATATTCGAAGAGCAAGTCGTGTGGGCTCTGGATTACCATTTCTTGTTGGTCCTTTCTAAGGATCAGCTGATCCGCCTGTCACCTGCATTATCATATTCACGTTCCAGAAAGGAACGAATGCATCTGTGATTGACTGATATAAAAATGTAATTCCTGTATCAAAGTGATGAATGTATCAATAAATATTCCAAGTGCCTTTTAATTCATGCATTTTTAGAGGAAACAATTCCTCCATCCACGATAAATCTGGAAAGTATCAATTTTATTATTTCACACTGCGTGGAATGCTTTGAGTAAAGATATTCACAGCCGACTAAATCTAGCGTGAATAACCCGATAGTTAATGCTCAAATCCGCGAATCGGTAAAGTCGCGGAAAAGTTGCCGCCGAGACGGAGGAGGAAAGTCGAGAAAGTTCCGACAGAACGACCTCAGCGAGCGACTGTTATAATCAAATTTCATCAGATATCCATTATCGCACCTACTTCGATAACAATTACGAGCGAAACTGCAGAGACAACCTCAGAATTCCGCGGTTGCTGTCCCGAGGATAATACTTCCCTTCGCGCGGCGTCCAAGATGGCCGCCTTCCACGCCTTCCGTTTCCTGCATCCCATTATGCGTTATCTCTTCACACGGAATGCTTTCACGTGCTCGCGGTACCGTCTGCACCGAGAGGGATAAAATTCCCGCAGGAGCGATTCCCCACCCCCATATTCCTGGCGCATTGCCGTAAACCTCCGAAGCTCCTTTAAAGTCCTCAAAACCTTTAAGCGGGTTCCGCACTCCGTCCACTTCCCAATTTCCATCCTCGACTCCGTCGTTCTACGGGAAAGAAAATGGCCCTGCCGTGCGGCAAATGATGCCGGACTACCAGTAGAAGGAAATCCTTTGACTCGTTCCCACTTTACGAGGTAATTCATTGCCTCGTTCAATTAAGAACGTCCTATTCGCCCACGGCGCGCGTCGGCGGATTTCAAGATGGCGCCGATCGAACGGCCGCAGATGGAACGATCGTCAAACCTTTTAACTGCGGTTTAAGAAAGTCCGAGAGACGCGACGCCGCGATTTACCAGCGGAATTGCGTCTTTCCGACTCCTCTTGTCTCGTAACTACCTTGTAGATGACCCACTGAGATGCAGAATCGTCAAGGCGGAAACGCGCTTCAAATTCCTACTCCCGGGAATAACTGCGAAGCGCGGGCGCGCTCAATGGCGGCGCGAAATTCAAACGGGTGTTCCGGGTACAAGAGTCTCTTCAATAGGAAAATTAAGTGCATCAGAAAATTTCGTTCCGTGATAAACGTTTCACTAGTGTAAATCACCAGAGGGAGGGAAACTCTGGCGTTGAAGTCCGGGAGGCAGAAATTGGGGAAAAAAATGTGAGTCCCCAGAAATAGGATTCGGAGAATAAAAATCAAGGACCTCCATAAATTTCACCGCGATAGTGTCAGGATCTTTGTATTTGAATTTTAGATCCAATCCGAGGGTTTGTGCTCTGGACTGAACCCGACCAAAACCAAGACCCAGGAATCCAATTTCCAAGCAGGAAACCCTGTCGCTAATGGCGACAATAGAGGAGTTATTTGCCAATCTAAAGGATCCCGGTGTAGTTCAGCGCGTTATCGATTCCTGGATTGCGACTCGCTGCGATCATCCCCTCTAAATTCGACTGTAAGATTGGAGAAACGTGGAGGGTGTTTTCCCCGATTTCAGCGAACTGCTGGAGACTCTCTTGCGGATCCCCAAAAGGAGCATTTCGCGAATCCGATTCATTAATCAGTCTTCAGGGAGGCGATTAAGACCATTACGGTGGTCTATAGGAAACCTCTCCTCGAGTTTTCCGCATCCGATGGGGCGAAACAGCCCCAGAAGGCAGTTCCCGAAATGAGGAATCACCAGAAAGGAATTAACGAGCTTTAAATTAGGCGTGGAAAATAAACGAGCGACGAAAGGGAAACACGTGGAAAAGTTTCTCCCCCGACTCCCATATCTTCGGTTCCAAGTTCCCCTAAGTGGATCCTTGCAATTATTGCGGTTCGCCAAAATGATTCGGCGTTTATTTTTTATTCTTCTATATTTGTATCACATTTTTTTTCTGCCTTGCTCACAAGGTAGGTCTTCAGGGTAGCCTTCGAAAATTAAACACAGCTGTTTTGCCCCTGCGTTTCGTTCCAAGTTTAACCCTAAAGTTCAGGCTTCCTTTTTTATAGTCCCTGACTTATGCCATTAAGACCAATAATTTTCTCCCTTTTATGTGAATTATAGTTGAGGAACGCCACGGCGGTCTTCATCATGAACTTGTCCGTCTCGGACTTGATGTTCTGCTGCTTCAACCTGCCTTTGGCGACCTCCACGTTTTGGCACAGTTCTTGGCTTCATGGACCACTTCTCTGCAGACTGTTCCCTCTGCTCAGATACGGTTTGGTCGCTGTCAGCCTCTTTACTGTCTTAGCAATAACGATCAATCGATACGTCATGATCGGCCACCCCAGGTTGTACCCCAAGTGAGTACGAATTTCCAAGTGCGATCGAAACGCGCAATTTTCCTCTGATCTATTCATTTTTTCCGAATTTCTTCTGAGTCCGTTATGTCATTGGTCATCTTCTTCAGACTTTACAGGCCGAGGTACTTAGCTCTGATGGTTCTAGCAACTTGGATCTCGGGATTTGGAGCATTAATCGCCACGTGGTTCGGTCAGTGGGGTAGGTTCGGGCTGGACCCAACAATCGGTTCTTGTTCGATTCTACCAGATGTCAATGGACGCAGCCCAAAGGAATTCCTCTTCATCCTCGCATTTTTAACTCCTTGCATCGCCATCGTGGTCTGCTATGCGAGGATCTTCTACATCGTCAGGAAAACTGCCCTTAAAAGTCGAAGGAACAAAGCTGCCGCCGACCTCGTCAAGGCGAATCTCGAGGTAAAAGTCCAGGGAGATGGATTTCAATTTTATCATTAATATCATGCAAATCGGGACAACGGGAAATGAGATTTGATAAGATTTTCTGTAGATACTCAGGGTGGAATTTTAGGAGAAACGGAGAAATTCAATGCTTTCAGGTGAAGTACACGAAGAACTTTGACGACTCCGCTCTCGGGTCCAGCTGTGGAGCGACATTGACAACGACGGAAAATGGCAACTCGCCGATAAAAAACGAAAGGACGAACCTGCTAGCCTCGGCATCCCCGAAACACAGTCCCATATATCGCGGACACGAGAACACGCATAATTTCGAGTTCGACTCCAAGATACCTCCAAATGTGAAGAATCCGAGCAACGATGAAACAGGGAAGCGATCCAGCAACGACGAAGAGAAGCGACAAGATGGACTGGCGAACGAAAACTCTTTCCCTTCCGTTGGGCAGGATCGAAAAACAACTAGTCGCGATAAAGTGCATCTCAAGATATCTCCAAAAAACCAGGGACCAATAATCACGGATCAGGAGGACCCCCACGAGCCTGAGGTCCTGAGAAAAGTGTCGAGCAACGAGCCGAACCCGAAATCGAGACAAGACAAGGGGAACCCTGAAAACGACGCCGAAGACATACCCTTCATCGACAACCCTCTTCAGGGAGTCCCGACAGAAAATCCCGACTCAGTTCCTGGCCAGATCTGGAACCGAGTGCCCATCCCGAACCTGAAGTTCTTCGAGGCGGAGCCTGAAAACCACCCGGAGGAGGACACCTTGAAGAACGAGCAACCGATTTTGGATCTGAAGAGCTTCGACAAGTCCGAGCGCAGGTGCAGCATGGAGAACAGCCTGCAGGTGCCGAAGAGATACCTCCACGATTTGGGCCACACCTCGGAGAAGCTCTTAAGTCCTCTGAGTGTGAGATACGACGAAGTTTCCGAAGACTGCGCGAGCTCCAGGTCGGACTCGCCCTCGGAGAAGAGGATGACGAAGAGGGGCAACGTCTTCCGCAGAGAGTCCAGGTTTAGGAGCGTTCGAGGTCGGAATTTCGAAACGGGGAAGATGACCGCGAAGGATAAGAAGCTGCTGAAGATGATCCTCGTGATCTTCTCGTCCTTCCTTATCTGCTATCTGCCGATCACCGTGTCGAAGACCTTCAGGGATGTCATAGACTGGCGGGGACTCAACATCGCGGGGTACATCCTGATCTATCTGACGACTTGTATCAACCCCGTCATCTACGTCGTCATGAGCTCGGAATACAGGAGTGCTTACAAAAATGTCCTGCTCTGCAGGAGCGAATCGACCACCTCGACGAAACCCCCTGCGAAGCTCTCGACGAAGGAGAAGAAGAGGAGCAGGAAAAAGGTCGGCATATCTTAAATCCGATAGATCTTTAAATTCGTAGGAGAAGCGGAGGAGGGACGTGGATAAAATTAAATCCAGGAGCTTGAGAAGACAGATGGGGGGTCATAAAGGGAACGTGGAAGGACTGAGAATTATTTTATATTATAATTTAGAAAAATTCATACGCCCACTGTGGACGGAAGTTGAGACAATTTCGAGGCCATTAGATTTCCCTGGCCTCGGGTCGGTGTACATAACTCTTAATCTAACTATCAGTGTCGAGGACTCGCAAGGACATCGTCGATTGGGTGGAATTATGCACTGCAGAATATATCCTCATCTGCCTGACAACCTGCACTTGTCTCCTCGTGTCTTCTGTGTCATCGCGAATCCGGAGTACAAAAACGACCGTAACTAGGATTTCCTGGATGGAAACGCCTCCGCGGATTAATCGCCATCGATCCAAGATAATGGAAACAGGGATCGTTAACGAATTCCAAATCCGATAGTTCCTTAAGCCAAGATAGACCTCGCGCTTCGTTTCCCCTGATTAAAAAAATTCCCCATTAGAATATTCATATCACGCTCTCCTTGATTTATGCGTCGTCGATTAACCTGGCCATGGATGGAACGATAAATCGTGCCGATTGGCTATGTGGATGGAAAATCCAGCTTTTTTATGGAGATCTATCCGGACATGTGTGGACAGCTTGAGGAAAATCTTATCATTTATTGGGCTCGGCTCCGTAACTTTGGGGAGCTTCGATCGAGGATAGAAAGGGAAGAGGGAAAATGGCCGCCGAGAAGTTCCCCGAATCGAGAACGAAAGTATCAAGGACTTACACGAGAATATGATGAAGTGACATCCGGAAAAGTTCCCGATGACGGAACTTTTCCTGACGGGAGCTTTTCTAATCCCGAGGGGGAATCGGGCTACGGATTTGCCGAGGATCGTAGTTTTATGGGGGAATATCAATGTTCTAAGAGTTAGATCTTTTTTTACAAGACTGAGTACTTTAAGATTCCCTATTCGCAAGCCGCTGGCTGTGAAGCTCTACTGCCTGGGATAAAGTAGGTAATTTCTTTTCGAGGATATTTTATCGTTGTAAGGGTTAAGATCGATTGACTGTTTTTCTTCGATCGAAACGCACGATACACGGAACGGTCGTATTGTTTTTCGCTTTTTTTTTTTATCACGTCTTCAATGTTTACGGGAAGTTATCCAGAGTTTTATGGCGATTCATATTCTGCCTCAGACATCACGGCTTCGGAGTTATGTCTTTTATTACTGTATTTTCTTATGCAAACGACTCCGGACAGAGTTTCTCATATTTATGTCTTGCACCCGGCATTATGGCTCACCCTACGGTGATTTATTTATTCCTTACGCATCCCGATGAATTATGCAGCATTTCTTTTTATCATTAGCAGGTAATCGACCTCGAATTTCCGGGAAATTAATCGAATGGAGGAATGATTTTTAATATTAACTTCTAGGCGATGAAAAAAGACATACTTTAGATGAGTATTCCTTTCGACTTCTGGTATATTAATAATTCCCAAGAAAACGAAGAAAGGTTATATTACAAGAAATGTCGTTTCACCGTCGACTAAATAAATCCTAGGAAATAGTTTATATTACACGCGGATATACGTACTGGTCAGATTTGTACATAAAATTCCACTAGAAATGTAAATAGATACTTTTAATTTAAAAGTCCTACTATTAGAGTAAGTCACTCTTATTAAAAATTTGTTATAAAAGTTAATTTCCGAGATCGGTGAGGAATCTTCTGTGTGAATCTCTGTGTATTTACTACTTCGCTTATTCTCGCGATTCTCACGTTTGTAAATAGTATACGTGAAATAATAAAATAACTAAGCCACATGTCTTGGATTTTGACACGATGATTGAAAGATGTGAGAAACCAGGGAAAATTAATCTTTTTTTAACACTCTGCTGCTACAATTAATTCCTTGAGATATTTACAGCAAGTGGCGGTTAAAATGACCTTTTTAATAATGTAGTATATCAATAAAATCTCTAAGCTCGCTCGTTGGCCCTTCTCGGGTTCTCATCATCTTCCAATTTAAATATATTACTAAGCTTACGCGAAATTCTGTTCTTTAACCTGTCTTTTAACTGCCGTCAAGTGTTGCAGGGACCGGGGCAGACTGCAGAGTATTGACATTTAATGGCCAAGGCTTTTCCTGGCCATTCGCCATTTTGTTTCCGGCAGTCGGCGAGACTTTGCTTATGTCAAGAGAGCTTTTCGAGTGACGATCTTTAAAGTGCAATATGCCAGTAGCTATGCCGAGACCGGTACCGGTAATTACCAACATCCACTTGATGTACCTGTAACCAGAGGGAATTAATATAAAAAGATTATTTAGAGCATCGACATCTCGGAAAGTTATCCACCCGACTATCTTGATCATCTTAAAGGCAGCTTTCAGTTTCCCCACGAAGTCATCGTTCAATGCCAAACCCTCTTCCACCCAGAAGAGGGGGAGGATGGCCTCGGGGAAGGTCTTCATCAACTTGAACTTTTGGACAGGTTGGATGAACATGTTGAACTGTAGTCTCTTCCGGGCGCTCACAGGGGTCCCGGTCATTGGCTCGAAATCCAGAAATATCTGGTGATCTTCCTAAATCCGAATGCAGGGCCGGAATTAGAGGAGACCAGACAGGAAGGAGTTTATTTGATCGCTCCCCAAAACTTCCTGATTGAGAATATCCAATATATTTCCTGTCTATTCCGACAATCCTCGGTTTACCTGCGTGGGCTTCAGCCCCTCCACCGTTTCCAGGTACGACTCGTCTGCAAGGTAAAGATGCGGAAGAGATGCAACTATCGGAGCCCCGACGCACTTTGTGAGATCATAGAGACCTTTTTTCAGACATGTGTCTTCCGTGGGGCAGAAACACTTCTCTTCGGGGTGAGTGCTCATGTCGCCCAGGTCAGCTGTGTAACGATTGGTACGAATCCCTGAAAAAAGAAAAAATCAGGAAACCCTCACCGCTCTCTCTCTCGAGACATTCTTTTTTTATTTTTCATCATTCGGATGAACTTCGTTAATGGAAATTAAAATTACCACGATTGTTTATACTTGTACCTTTGTATGCCGAGGGACTGTCGAATCTGGCGCTGAGACTTCGGCAGAGATCCGGAGCAAACGAGACCACGTCTTCGTCTTTGTAGAGGAATGGATGGAAAATCGTGGAATCGGTTCCGTTGTAGGCGTTGCAGTGCTCTTCGGGCCAAGTTGTCAATGATGGTTGACCATTAAACTCCACCACCTTGCCCACGTCCTTTGCATTCTTTGTCCCACGGACCACTCGCAGCCGATCCTCTCCTATCGTTCCGTTTTTCTGCAAAAATTAAAGGACCACGTGAGAGGCGAAATTATTCATATTAAATACACTACTTAATTGGATGCCCACGTGGCCAAACATGGAGAACCGGTAGCGGTTTTCGCCCTCCACCACGAGGTCCTTTCCTTGTTCCTTTAACTTCGAACAGAGAGCACTTCCGGAGAAGTCCTTGACGGTGCAGTCGATGGGCAGACCATCGAAAAGGACATCCTTCACCTTGACTTTGATGAAAATTGAGTCCGGCTTCTTGAAGATGCTATCCAGGGCTTTCCCTGAAATCGGCGGATGATTTTTCAATTGGGATACCATTTTTAACAAAAATCAAAAACAGGAACTCTACGCGAATCGCCCTCACCTACGATACCCATCATGGCGGGTTGTTGTTGAAGGGTGCCCATGACGATGCCCAACATTAATAAATGGGGGAAAATTAATTCTTCGTTCCCGGTAAGCCCATTACTCTTCGATGGGTTGAAGATCCATGTGACTCGCTGTTTGTACTCAACAGTGTCATCCGAATCTCTGTCTTCTAGGTCCACCTTCTCCTTGTACTCGCTGAAATTTCAAGTCATTTTTTACGCCCCGCAATTATGCTATACACGACTGTAAAGTACTGGAAGATCACTTTTAAACGAATATTTCTAGAGTTTGGATAATTAATTAAATTTCATTTTTTTTTTTTTTAACTCACTCGTAGAAGTATGGTCCTATCTCTTTCACGATAGGCTTCTCTCCCTTCTGAATACCCTCGGGATTAGTTACGTTAAATATGTATATTTTAAAGTCTATAGGCAGAGGAAATTTGGACCACAGTTCTCGGATCTCGGAGCCTTTTTTCAGGGCTATGGCCTAAAAAGAATTTGATTATTAGTCAGAGCTCGGTATCGCGTGACTCCTCGAATTAAGATCCACATTTGCAAATAAGCATTAGGTGCAACGTGACATTTTGCAAATCCTACACAGCGATGGCCGGAAAAACTGTGTCGAGTCATTCTCCGGGGTAATGCCGGAAAATTATCCTCCCGTTTCTCTCGATCGGAAAAAGACAAGAATTATATTTTTAAGTACACCCGTGACTGTGCGATGGCAGGGAGCGCAATTAAAGAGTACACGCAATTCCCCAAGAAGTTATGCTCGTTAATGCATGATTTACAAACGATCACTAAAGTTCAAGGAAGTCTGTATCATGGCCATCAACTTCGTTGTATAATATTCTAAGGCTCAGCCTACGAATGAGGGGTTATTTTCGATACACAATCGATGGCAAATACTGACATAGGAAATATTAAACGTTGACCGAAGATCCTCCGAATCGAAAAATTCCGAAATGCCAAGATTTTGGATATTTCTTTTTCTTTAATTTCTCGGCGAGAAAATTATCGCCAAATTTTGCAATGCACTTAATTTCTGCATGTCGGCTGATTTTCTTCAGTGGTGCCAAAAATCAGCGGGGATACTGCTTTCAAAATGGCGAAAGCAGAACGACCCGCTTTCGAGTTTTACCAGCAATAAAAATTCGAGTTCCAGTTTCAAAAGCGATTCCAAGTCGCGATGCATACGCAAGGATTTACTTACTCCGTTAATCTTCGATTTCAGGACCATCGGAAAGATCACCCAACCGAACATGACTCCGATGGAGAATAAAATTCCGCCAGCAATGGCCAATTTGTTCGGAAGTTTCATTTCCGAGACGAGAGATTCTCCCAAAAGTTTGGAGCCGCTCTTCTTGACGTAACGAAGGGCACCTGAGAAACTGCAACACCGAATTTATAAGTCAGACGTCCTACAAGAAATCGGAAATAGTCTCAATGATCATCGGACATCGGATAATAAAAGTAATTGATTAAAAATCGAATCTGGAGAGAACGTCCGATATGGCAAGCAATTGATTTCTTACTCAGAAACGAGCTTTTCCAAAAAGCTTCGCTTCTTCTGGAAAGCGTTGTTCTTATTAGAGTTGACTTGAAAAAAATATAAAACTCGCTCGCACTGCCGTAGAAAGGTGCGAGAGGTGCGAAGAAACCACGACAGTGCACCTTGCAGGATTCGTGAGAATGCACTGACGTGCGACATCTGCATACTCTGATGTCGGACTGGACAATTCATACAGGAAATACCTGCAGTTGCGCAGTCAATAAAAAAAAAAAAAGACGTAAGAACTTTCATGATGTACGCCCATCGATCGGGCTCAAAAGACCTCCTTAACTCGACGCCTTCGAAATTAGCGGTAAATAATAGCTGGCTTTTTTTTTTAAACTGCCCCAATGCGCACATCTTTAAAACATTTCAGTCTTTCATTTAATATTCGACGTTGGATGAATCCTGCATTAATCATTCTAGAGCTATACGGAAAGAACAATTTGTAATAATTCTCGAGACCTTTACAAATTGTCGGACGTAGGTGTATCGTCATGTATGATTATGGCGGCTACAACCTGGTATAAGTCTAACGCGTCAGAGATGTAAGCCCTTGGTGTCAAGTCCAACACCTGATATCGAGCGGAAAGGCGATGAAGATTTAATTAAATATGAGCAACTTCGAGATTATAGACACTATTCATAATCAATAGTCTAGTAAAGAAAAGGAAACGGCTGGTCGATTCGATAGAAGTGGCCGCCATATTGAAAATCACGTTTACCCTCCTTCGACCAATTTTCGCTCCTCTACTAATTCATATTTCTAAATATTAAAAATGAGATCCCTCCAATTAATTAAAAACTTGACAACAATAAATAATATCAATTTTGAGAAGAATCCCCTCTCGTTGAAAAACTCGAACGAAGTCCCCAGGATGCATTGACAAATTGCGGCTGAACTCATTTAATTAATTAAAATGCGTTCGATTAATGAAACTCTTGGGAATCGATACCTGAAGAAAGTCGTGTAAAACAGTTCCTTGCACGGTGCAACTAACAAGTTTAACCTTTGACACTGACACTTACTAACAATATGAACACCCTTCGGAATTACGTTAGATGTTCCCCTTCCCACGGTAAGCAAGTCACTTAACAGTGCTTCGTGTCAAGCAAGTCCACGTAATCAGTCGCTACTGGCCAGCTACGAATTATGCATACTACCAGGAAATAGCACCACCCTCTAGAAGCTTTTCTGAAATTTTCATAAATTTCAGAAAGCCGACAAGTAGCCACAAGTTCGAGGGCCCCCCTCAGCCCGCTTCATTGCAACTCCACGCTTCCGCAAGAAAAGATTACCAACTTTTTCCCCTGAATTTTGAATGACTCCACCCCCTCGAGTCCAACTCAGAAATTATTTTTTTTTATTGCCTCCATCTTGACCATACAAGAAAAACGTATAAAAACCGACGCCCTAGCAAGAGCAAGTCTTTCTTATCAATCTTCTCTCACACAAAAAAAAAATATTGCAACGACGCAGTCATTCGATTTGCCTTGAGAATATGTATATATATAATATTTACACACTTACACGCTACAATCGTAAATATGGCAGTTCATGGATATAAAATGATCGCATGTCGTCGGTACAATTACCCAGGAATTAAATGTGGTATTTCCTTAGTCACACGTGCAGGTGACACGCGATCGGCATTTAATAGTCTTAATAATCCTTATGTGTATAACACACATCGGCGGTATTAATACATGCCCTGAGAAACTACCACCCATGAAACGGTTTATAGTGTGCAGAGGTGTGTATCGCAACCGGTACCGGATATGGTTTAGGCACGTGGTAAGGTACGGCCACGTGGACTGGATATGGCCGGTCTACGTGCACCAGTTTCTCCACGTGAACCGGATACGGTTTCGGAACGGCAACAGGAACGGCCACAGGTCGATCTACATGTACAGGTACGTGGATCGGTTTCTCCACCGGAACAGGTACAGGTCGGTCCACGTGGACGATTTTTTCAATGTGAACCGGATACGGTTTTGGTACCGGGACGGCCACCGGAACTGCTACCGGAACGCCAACGTGTTTCGTGACGGTGACGGGAACCGGAACGGCAAAAGGAACCGGATGTGAAACGGATTGCGGCACCGGGACGTGCAGGTGGTGCGGAACTGGTACTGGTACCGGAACGGGTGCTGGTGCTGGAATAATAATCCGATTATCGATATTAACAAATTTTTCATCCAGCATATCTGGTATTCTTTGCGTTATCTAGGTGTCTGATAACTCTGATACCATTTTCTACTAACCAATATGGGGAGCCAAAACTGGATGCGGTTCCACGTGCGGCACAGGTTGTTCCAGATATTGCTGCGCCGGAACCGGGTACTGATCTGGAGCTGATCCTTCGTAAATCGGAGCTGGCTCGCCGAAAGCTCCATGGAAATTGTCCTGCTCCGGTAATCCATATCCTAGATGAAGACCTCTCTTATCGTGCTTCTTCGTCACCCCGGATTCTTTCGATTCGTCTTCAGGGTGGACCGTGATCGCCATTGCGACTCCCAGAAGAGCCGACGTGACCTAAGAATTTGAAACCGATTTTAGAATTTAACGATCACAGATACTAAATATAAAAATTCACTAAACATATGTTTCGGCACTTGTTTGCACTTATTTCATGGCGTTAATATTTTTCTCTAATTTTTTTATAGAAATGTCGTTCACGGACTACGCGGATTGTACTCGATTATTAATTTGTTTTTAATCAACGGAGTGCGAGGAGGAAGTACCAGAATTAATTTCATGTCGAGTGGGTTCCTGTCACCGTCAGTGCCGGATAAAAACTGAGGTTGCTCTCTATTGTCACTCCCATACGTATTTATAGGGCGCCGCGACGATCACCATAGGAAGGATCGATCGCCGATTCAATAGCTTTCGCTGTTTCTAATCTTGGTCGGCAGCCAAATCGCATTTCTTTCCTGCTCCGATAAGACACTCCACCCTTCATGGGAGATCAATTGGTCCGGATAAAGACAAGGATTCCCTTGCTATTAATTTCCCCCACATTAAGGGATAATCCGATACACGAGATTTTGCCGATAAGTGATATTAACTTCCCATTGCAAATGTGGTCATCGCCGATCGCTCGTTGAAGTCTCCTCGGCCCGATGCACCGATTGAGAATTCTCAACTCAAAGCACTGCGAAAGGAGTAAAAAAATCGGAATAACTATACAAAAAGAGATATCGAAAGTTTCTACAGAGATGTAGTGGAATAGTCGAGAAATAGTGGACAGTTTTCCTGAAATCTTGAATTTTCTTCGCATCGAGTTACAAGCATCCACGAATACAAAATGGCGTCGCGTGTTTACGCGACTCGTAAACCATTATGGCGCGGAAAACGGATCTGGAAAGTGCGGGAATAATGAAGTTCCAGCAGATAAATATCGATAGCCAGGGTTATGTGTCGGCGGGCGTGGATTATCCAAACGTCTCGAGACGTGTCAATGAATAATGAATGCCGAGTACCAGTCGGCATTAGGAGTTGCTCGCGTTAGAAAATGAAAGTCAAGAAAGTCCCCTGTGCACTTCTGAACGCGGAAGCCTACGCGATCGGTGCTAGAACTGTACCTTCCTGACATAACAAACAGTTCGTCCCTTTTCCGCCATCCCGATACGATCGATGTCCACCTCCGAGTCGCTTGCGAAATACGGTTTCTATTATCATGACGCCAACTCAACGAAAACATGGCGCCTTCTTCGAGGGTGTTCCGCGAAACGAAGATTTCCACGACTCCCGATACAATTCGAGAGCCAGGGATATGACGGGGATTTTCTGGATTCCTGGCACAAGATGGAGAGACGTGGAGAAATGTATATCCTGGATCTCAAATCGAAGTCGTGCGTTCATGCAGATGTATGGAGACGAAAGCCGAGGCGCGGCCATCTTGGAGCACGCCCCAGAATGACGAGATATCGTAAAAATCGAGAAATTTATGATAACGAAGAAACGACGGCCCCTGTAGTCGCATGATCCTTCTTGTAATAAATATGACTAATGAGTATTAACATGTAAAGATTCGCATCACTTAATTAATGTCGGTAAATAATTGAATTGTAAAAGCGCAATTCAATGAAAGGGTGGATCAATGGAGTCATTTATTTTGCTCCGTTCGCCGAAGTAGAAGATGTTACGAATCTCCTGAATTTCAGGGTAGAATCGGATCGCGTAAACAAATACATCACTTATAGAAGCGGATCAATGGACGATTTCCTCCTGCAAGTTGCACTAAGGCGACCTTGCACCGAAAATAGCATCCTCTGTGGAACGGCGAACAAACGCTACGAGTGCGTACCGGTACTATTAATTTCACCGGATGCCGATGGTGCTACATGGGCGGAATAATAAAACCGGAAGTAGGTCAGTAGCATGTTCCACAAGGAGAGCATAGTCTCGCGTAAATGACCATATGCTCTTAAAGGAGCTGCCGACCTAAAGGCAGGGTCCTGTATCTCTCCTGCGAGCTTTAAGGATACAGAGTGATGCACACCGATGGTTTCCGAATTCCCGTATCGACAGACTTTACCATGAGTTACGGATCAAATCGTCATTAAATCGCATTTGCAAGACACGAAGAAGCCTAGGTATTTTTCTATATCCTCACCTACATGAGAAATAAATGCAGATATCTGTTAGACGAGTCTGGGGTGCAGCGAATATATAGATATATTTTTTTAATGAGAATTCGGAGACCGGAATAAAAAGTGGAGGCGCGGTTCTTACGGGGTTACCTTTAACGGGGAGTTACATCGAAAGTACCGGATCATCGCTCGACATACCAGGTGAGCTCGGTGATCGAAACCATTAGGTCTTTTCCGCTTGTTCTCACTTTCCTCTGCGGAAGTGTAGCGGCCGAGCAAGGCCGGGTTCTTGGTCCAGTCAAAGATGGGAACGCGTCCTGGACAACTCTTGGGGTCCTATATAAAAGCCTGCATTCTTACAGGGAATCCGAACAGTCCAAATCCGAACTCGAGGCCGAGCGATGTCGAGGCTGCTGGTAAGGATCCTGAGCCACCCCCTTGAATCCCATGAGAGGAGAGTTCGACGCAAGAATCACCATAAACTGCATCCACCATACTCCGTATCGACCTATCGGCATCGTCGCTTTGCAATTTCTATTTCCACGAAATCTTCATATTTTTTCCCCGAGAATTTTTAATTACATTATTTGATTTTAAACTCTCCTTATCGTAAAACATACAAAGTCTCGACGGTCGAGGTTGGATGGTATTTCATGGGAAATAACTATAGTGGTATTTTAATTAACACGATTCTCAGCTCCTGTTCGCATTCCTATGCGGTTCTGCCCTGGCCGTGGAGCCGGAGGACACGAAACAGCGGAAACGAGGAATTCTTAACGACGGATGGGTGGGTATCCCAACCCCATACAACTACGGCCATGGTCAGCCATGGTCAGGGGACCACAATCCCTGGAAAGCCCTCAAAGTCACCAGCGATCTCCACCATAATATCGATGGGTGAGTCTGAAATAAAAATTATTAAAAAATTATATAATAGATGTAGAATAATTAGGGTACCGGTATGAGCCATGATTGCTTGAATTTATTCGTCAGATGGAATTACGGCGGATTGGACAAACTGGCACATTACAAGGCGGCCATCGCTCTTTCTTCGGGCCATCATACTTCCCTTGTAAAGACCCTTCCAGTTTACATAACGAAGCACGTGGTCCTGGAAAAGCCAGTCCCAGTCTCGGAACCAGTCTACGTGAAGCAGAACGTTCCGGTGTACATTGAAAAGCCTTATCACGTACCCGTGGATAGGGTCATTCCGGTGCCGGTCGAGAAAATCGTCCACAGACCAATTGCAGTTCCTGTTCCCGTGCCCCAGGTGAGAGAGAACTCGATCCTACGATTCAATTACTTCCACCTTCCCCAATTATGAATTTGATTCATTCATAAAGTCCCGATCAACGGTGTTGCGCAAGCGACCCCTCGAGAAATTGATTAAAAAATTCTAAGAGCAATCATCGATTGCGCAATCAATTTAAATTAATTTTCATTTAGAGAAAATCCACCCCAAAGCTGGATAAACCAATCGGCTCAAATTTTTCTCGATTAATTTTTTCTCGTACCCGTACGTTGATATCTTCGAAGTCTTATTTGATGTTTCTTTTTTAATGGAAAAATTAATATACCATCTCGTCATTTTACTCAACAATGTTCCTTTCTTTCAGGCGATTCCGATCCCGATAGAACATCATATCCCGATTCATGTTAAACATCCAGTCGCTGTTCCCGTTCACCAGCCATATCCGGTTCCGGTGAAACACGCCGTGCCGGTGCCGGTTCCGGTTCCGGTACCGTTTCCGGTCCACCACCCGTTCCCGCACCATCATCAACCATTCTTTGGAGGACTCCATGGTGGATCAGGCCATTTCTATGGGCATCATTATGGGCCGGGACATTTCTACGCCCATCCATTCGGCCATGGGTATGGTCACGACTATCATGGTCATGGATACGGCCATGGATATTATCCTGAGCACGGTCGTGGACACGGTTTCGGTCACGACTTCCACCACGGTTATGGTCACGGTTATGGTTATGGACCTTACGGTCATGATCACCATCATGGACATGGTCACGAGCACAAGGAAAAGCGCAGCAAGACGTAAATGGTTTTACAGACCCAGAACAGGATTAAAAATGAAGAGTATTGACGAAAGCAGTGCCAAAATGATTGGTCATCCAAATGGATATATTATATAGATATATAGCAATTGTTACTCGACTAACTAAGTGTATATTATTTTAAGATGTATAATGATGTATGTAATTGTTTCATAATGAATGATGAATGTTGGAAATGATTCCGAGGGGTTTATTTAATTTTCCTAATCTAGTTTTTGTAGTAATGTAGGTCACTAGATACAAATAGCGTTTTTTGAGTAAACGTCGTTTGAAAGTCGCGCCTGTTAGGGAGTAACGCCGATTGGTGGTCCGTCGACCAATCAGCGTCGAGAAGACGCGAAGACAGCTAGCTTCTAAATTCTTTGGTTCCTCCGTTGAGATCAGGGAAGATAAATGTACTTTCTTTGCATTCTGTGTTACCAAGTGAAAGTCTGGATATTACAACAATGCTCCATAACCTATAACTAATGTTGCAAAAACTGTAACGTCCGTACCTGTCGGAGTTAATACATTCCAGGGAAACAATGCATAAGGATCGCATCACGAACGCAGATAGTCTTACGTCAATTGATGTGTCGTGAAATTGAGTACGAATCTAATTTGTTGATACGCTTTACGTTTCATAATAAAACAACGGTAACGTTATCGCGTCAAAATGGTTTCGGCCGAGTCCGATAAGTTTACCGTATTGTGTGTACAAGTGACAAATTTGAACTGCTGCAAGTAAGGTTATGTTAGATAAATGTCAGGAATGTCAGTTGCTTGCAAACCGTCATGTTTTCATCGGTTCCTACAGTTGCATTATATGTTCCTTGTTTTTTGTACAAACCGTAAGTTTACATAAAATCATAAATTAATTTAACCCTAATGCACGTAGGTTGAATCAAGTCAGAAAACCAATATGAGCGATCGCAAGGAACAGCGAACAAGGAGAAGACACAAAAGTAGGAAACAAAAGGAGCGGAGGAATGACTTAAAAGCTGTGAAAGCACATAATCCAAATACTGTGACCCTTCGCAATGACAAACTCGTCCATCCTGAGACGGACACTATTACTATTGATTACGAGCAGGAACATACAGTGAGTTTAAAGAACTTAAGCAGTCCATCGGTATCTGGCTGTAAGTCGCGTAGTTTGGAACATCAGAGACCTAGTGTATCCCTCATAGAATACCAAGATAACTTAGATACCGATACGTCGGTGCCGTATATATTTATAACGAGATTGGCACCATGTGAAGAAGATACATGTATCGGTGACGCTATAATGAAACCTGAAAACGAAGGATTATTACTGGACAGGTCCGATACTAATTCGCAGTCAAAGCCACAAAAGAAACTTATATTATTACGAAAAATTGACCCTAAAAATACATCCTTGGTTACGCCAGACAAAACACAGAGTATCGATGAGTCAAGCGAGGCTAATACCGAAAAAATAATAGATACTACCGAGTTTTTTGCGGAGAATGTTTCTGCATTGACAGACGATGACGATCTGATAGATTCTAAGTTGTGGATGAAAAGATTTTATCCTCTGCCGTTACACTATACTCATAAAGGCACGCCGTATTTAAGATGTCCTGCGTGTGCTGCAATTTTCTTCACTTGTAGTGCTTTCCAGCATCACTTCTTTTCACATGCATACAAAGACACTGAAGAATATGTATGCGTGTTTTGTAATTATTCCAATAAGGATCCGAATATTATATTTACTCATTTATTTACCCACCAAAATCAATGCGAGGTTTGCAATATAAATCTGACTCGCAAGAATGGTTTTCAAAAACATTGGGCTATTTCATCGTCGAGTTTCAAGGCAAAGCGCGATTGTTACGGAAGGTTTGTTTGTTGTAATTGCAAATTAGTCTTTGATTTGTTATTACACCTCAAGAAACATTGGTTCAAACACTCTTGTATCAAGCAAAAAGCGCATCAGTGTAACGTGTGCTTAGGACTTTTTGATAACAAAGAGGTGTTCAAAAACCATACATGTTTGAGGTGTCCAACTTGTAACACGACTTTTGATAGTTTACAACGTCTTAAAGCTCATACAAGCACGACAAAGCATTTCTTAATTTGCTCAATTTGCTTGTACGAATTCATTCTTACGATCGATCATGAAAAACACTTAGCATTGCATAGTGAATCTTATCTCCCTCACAAGGATTACGCTCACTGTCTGGAGGCAAAAGATGGGAAGAGCTTTCAATGTGAATTGTGTAGTAAAATATTCTATGTTCAATCTCGACTGGTATTACATATTCGCGAGGATCATAATATCGATAACATTGGTAAGAATGACTCGGAAGAAGGATTCGACATGATGTTACTTACGAAGTTTAAAGAAGAACCTATAACCGATGATATCTCCAGTATCGTTGAATGCGAATTAAAGTGTAACGATGATGATGCAGATGACGATACGTATGAGAACGAATTAATTTTGAGATCTCCGAAAGAAGAACCGTTGGAAGAAGACGACAGTGATAATCGATATGAATCCGAGTCGTTGTTGTGGGACAATGAAACCTCTGTACAGACAAATGTGAAAAGTGTTCGGAGATATATGCAAAGCAACATCTATGAATGTGCCATGTGCAAGGAAACCTTCGACAGTGCAATTCTTATCAGTGAACACATTTGGACCCAACACGAAGTTTCTATGGCTCAACCCACAAGCGACTTAGAGTACGAATGATGTATCACGGTGTGATAAAAAAAGACAAAATGACCTGGAATAATACATCATAGAATAGTAGATACACAATGCCATGGACTAATTAATATTTTATAGCCTACTTCCGTACTCCATAACCATACGGTTCTTGGTTTTTTTTAAGTAGTATAAAATATTTACATACATACACCTTTGGACGATTCCAATGGTCTCACGAGATTTCACCTGCTCGTATTTTAAGCAGATGTCTTTAAAGTGTATTATTAAGACCTACGATGACAGATTCTGTAACGATCGATCTTAAAAATTCAGAGGTGATAATATTCTTGCATCAAAATGATGCTGTATCGTAAACTTATGCTTCACCTATTAATTTAAGAAAATACGTTTGAAACTAGTTGAATTACATACCGATTACGATTCGTTTCCGAGGATAAAAATCATTATGCATCTATTTAAAGCATCATAATGTAACGTCGATTTTGTTGCATCCTCGGAGCCTGTATTTCAACTCTTGAATATTAATAAAGTTATACCTTGTTTGATATAATTGGACCCCAACTACAATGTTCCGCGTCCTTTCAATAAGCTCCGTTCTACTTTCAACAGAATTCTGCCAATTTATAATACGTGTCTATAAAAAAGACAACATTGTGAAGAAATATCAGATCAATTGTATTTAATACACACACGTAAATAAGTCGCATACTATCATCGACTGATACACTTTTGTTCTTCTGGTCAATGGGAGGTAATATCACTTCTTACTGAAATAATACGTTGACAATGTTAATATGAACAATGTTGCACGGACAGCTTTGAAACTGCTTTAGTGCCATCGACATAAATTAAAGAGCAACATTAATCGCATTACTTCCTCCTTAGAGAGAAAATCTGACTACTATTATATCGGAGCATACCACTGCTCCAGAGAGCTTGTATCGGCCATACGGTTGCGATATTAAATTATTGAAATATCAAAATTAGTAATTAGCAAGGCAAAAAGAGACGCTTTCAATCGCCTCGCACGCGCTTAATGTACAATTTAAATAATCCTTGTAATAAATAAATTATTCGTGTATATGTATGTACATATAATCGTAGTACTGAATCTTTAAACCCTTCAGGGGCCACGTATGACCGGTGACCCTTATCATTACACATTTAACATTTAATCGCTGCGCAGGTACACGACGTCCGAAGGGTTAAAGTGCAATCAGCGCGATCGCCATTATTCTTGCATTAATCCCGGTTAAACGATCGCCGAGGAGATCTGGTAGTAAAAATAATATTGGCATCTCGAGTGAGTCGCTGTAAAGTTCTCTTTATAATATGACGCGGATTAATTTACCCCATTAATCGCGCCCGTAGTGGCGCCCGATTTTTGGTCAATTGTTTAAACCTCCTCCTTATGCTTTGATCCATTGTTCAACATAGTCGAGAGCGCCGAGCAATATCTTCTTCTCGGCCACTCTCAACTTGACTGCTAATTTCTTCGCTTGCGGCAAAATCGTTTTCAAGAGCTCCAGATCTTCCTGCGATTGAAGGAAAGAAAGGCATCACAGATAGGATTAATTTAATTATTTCTCACCTTACCTTCAGCGACGTCGGGTAATTCGCTATCAACAGCTTCAGTCTGGTCAGTAGAAATTTCCGGACATTTTCCTCGACGATCGTTTCCAGGGCACAGTCGATGTGCTTCAGATCGAAAACCTTATCAGAGAGCAGCCAATGGTCCAGCTCGGTCTTTCGCATGCTGAACACTCGCAGAAAGGCCAAGAGCAGGTCGGAAATTGGTTCGGAACCAGGTTTCAAGAGGAACTCGCCGACCGGGGGCAGACCCAATTTTTCTAAAAGGGCTATTCGTTCCTTCTGCAGAGAGTCCGCCTTGCTAATTCCCAACCGAAGTTTGAACCCATCCTGGAAATATTGGTGAACATTTTTCGGTGTCGTCCTTTATCCCCGAGTCCGACGAGTAGATGGGCCGAGGGTTTATCTCCATAAAAAATGTATATATACTTTATATCGAATTTTCAAGGATCCACAAACCTGTTTATTATCCGGATACACGAAACCGGAGTGCACGAAAAAATCGGAGTTGGTCCTGGGACCGTATGTTATGAAAATTTGCTCCCCAGCCTTGAAGACCCTGGAGGCGTAACACTCGCATCGGTCTGCGCTAATGTTAAAATCGGTCGTGATCTGGAATGAACAAATGTCACGGTGAAATTTTACTAACAAATAGAGTCTGTACTTTACGTTGGGAATTAAAAAAAAGAAAAATTAACTATTGCAAGCGTCGCGCAAATACCGAGATCTTATACCCTGGCTCTTGAAGCGTACGAAGCAGGTCATGAAAGGATTAACAACTTACTCTCCCTTCTTCGTGATTGCACATGTCCCACATTGGTATGAGTGCGTGGATCATTTGAGAGCCGTCCTCGTTCGGGATCATATTTTGCCTGGTCATAACCGTAGATACGGCCCAGCTAGAAAATACAAATGACGTAAGTCGCCGTAATTACCTCCATAATTAGAAGGACTGGAATTGTTCGAAATTTGAAATAAACCCCTCCCGGATCGTTACACCCGAAAGAGTGAATTGTCCATACGACGTAATTACATTTCACGATCCAATGGTCACAGGAAAATGCATTTTCAACGGGCTCCCGTTGCCGGGTGAAAATACTTCACCTGGCCGTTACCCACACTTTCCTGACAGAAATTAATGCCCCTGAAAAAAATGAAAACGGGAAAAAAAAACTAGCCAGCGAGATCCCAATGCAGATCCCGCGCCTGGAAACCACTAAAATAAACAGGTTGCGCCTCATCATATGCTAACTTTCTACAGATTTCCCTAAACAACCGACCGGCAGAGGCAAGAAACGTGGAGCGGTCCATCGCGAATGAGCAAAGGGCCGATCCGACCGAACTTGACCCAGAAATGCAGAAACGTCGGCGAGGATTCGTTATTCTCGTCCTGGCTTTCTCCTATCAGCAAGAAGACGTGATAGAGCAACGTTTGTCTTCCCAGTTAACACTGGGACCGATTAACATAGGCATGAAACATTAAACGCTTATTATATAAACGAGCGACCCGATAAAAAAAAATCTATGCATCGATTGTTAATCGACACATGACTATCAATCTAGCCACGTCACGATACCTGAAAAAAATTCCGATAAAAATTTAACAGCGATTTTATCACTGATAAAGGTAACCGCGATGTAGAAAGTATGGATCACTGTAGAGGGGGAGGGATATCGAGATTATCCGATCCGGAAGAAAATTCGTGAAAATCCCCCCGACGGTGTACGGTCTATGCAAATGATCTCCTTTTGACTCGGCTTGTGTGCAAATCGAGCCGCGATATTCTCGGTCCATCTGTCCTAAGGGAATTCCCGACAGGGAATAAAAAATGAAAAATAGACGGACGTCTCTGGAGTCCCTTGGTTTACGACCGCCATGTAAAGGATGAAAGTTCCGCGTGTGAAAGTGCACGTCCCCCGATTCGCAAAGAGACGTAACTTTCAGCGTCTTCTCCGTCGAGACCCGGAATTCACGATGCAAGGAGAATCTCGAGACTCGAGTGTCACTTTCCAAGTGGATCAAGAAACCGCTAAATAGGAGGCCGGAAAAGGAGATCCAAGAGTGGCTCGTCGATACCGATCCATCCCCGGTAGAAGGGCAAACCGCGACATCGCCTTGTTATATAGAATTACCTAAAAAATGAATTTTCAAGATTTCCCCGATTTTAATTAGATTAGAGATAATCCACCTCCCGGCGAGTTAGATGCGGAAATAATTATCGCCGCGATCTGAGCATTACGTGATATCCTCATATTGTGGAGGAATGATAAATATGAGAGAAAGAAGCGAGGAACCTCTTACGTTGCGAGTCTCTGTAATACAAGGGAGGTATATGAATTTCCGTGTTTGAGATCCTTGCGCAATGCGTTTTTAGCATTTGGTTTCCCAATTCACATGGTCTCCCTTCTCGCGAGCGCAATGCTAGTTACGCACAACCGTTCAAGAGAAAAAAAAAAAAATACTTGCATAACGACCAAGCCATTTAATTCGTCAAATTTGATACACATCCGCGGGTGCGTTGCAGATGCTGAAAAAAAAAAAAAGAGAATCGTTCAATCGTTTTCGGAAAATTAATTAGGTATTTTTCCTTTAATGCCCCCTTTTCTCATTACGCAATTGCGCATCGAAAGGACGAAATTTGTCATCGGGAATTTTCTCCGGGTAATTTACCGAGGATGCGGTAAAGTTGAAGATCGAGCGAGATGGTTTTCGGTCATTCATAGTTTACCGGCGCAATTAGCTCGGTAGAGGCCTAACGACGTCGAAAATGAAAACGCGAGTCCGTCATTGTTTCTCAATGCTCTAGGAGAAGCTCGCCTCGGCGGGGATACACTCCGGTGCATGTAGGAAGGTCGCAGGGGGAATTAAAGACCGTGAGAGATCTTCTGCATACACTTTCTACCAGATAACTCGAACCGAGGTCCCGGGAGTGTACACCGATCTTTCAGGAAATATTACGGAAATCTTCATTCAGAGAAAGAATAATTATGAAAAAAAAAAAAAATCAACGAGGAAAGTCAGCCGACGAGTACGAAACAATAATTAAATTTCGGAAGGGTAAAAAGAAAAAATGAAAAATCAATATTAGTATAAAGGTAAATTAGACGAGGGTGGAGCAGTAATTAAGCGGAAGGAGGGACGGTGCCAGTAAGCGAGAGAAAAGAGAAATTTAATAAAGGGCCGCGGCAGAAAAATAATATAAATGTCGGGTGTCATCCGTACCCTCGCTAAGTTCGTATGTAATCGTTAATATCTGTTATTATCTCCCTGTTTTTGTTTCGGTGAAAAAACTTGGAAATCATTAGACGGCCGAGCTGCGATTAAGTATGATGATGGGACGGACGCAGGACTTTCTTTTTCCCAAATTACAAAATGGCCGAGCACCCGTGGAAGTGGAGGCGCCTAAATGAGAACTATCCCCGCGGAGGAGGAAAGTTATCGAAAAGCTCGCTCTCTCGATATTTTTCATCTCGCTTTCGGGATTCCTCGATGAAAAAAAAAAATCTGTAAAATGAGCCATGTCCGTCGATCCGCAATTGCTTTCTCCACAAGAGCGCCGATTCGCAAACCGACATGGCTCGTTAGATATATTTCATAAACCAGACTCAAGTAATACACTTGAGAAATGTAAAGTACCCCCTAGGCGTACTAAAGAAAAATTCAAAAACGAGTGAAAATATCCCAGGAGTCCAGAACACATTAAATACTAAATCCGCTATATACGCGCACTTTTTAAACGTTCCCATTCCCTCGTCGCGTCTAAATATCTCATGTAAATCCTTAATTACGGGTTCACAGGCACGAAATGCAGGAAAAGTCGCGATACTCCTTGAAGGTGCGAAACAATGAAGCGGATTCCAGATTTGGAGCACTTTCCCCGTTTCCCCGAAACGTCAGAATGCCAGATAAAATCATAGAAGAGGGACCGGAAGCGAGGACAGCTTCCTGCCCGGAAATCGGGACGTCGGTCCTCTCACCGGGTCCATATCATCGGATGAAATTCATCTTCGATCAGGAGAGAGGAGCCCAGGTGGAGAGGCGATCGAGGAAGCGAGAAGCCGTCTATGAACCTTTAGGGGACTCCTTAAGTTTCACCGACTTACTTACAGACTCGGTGAGAGAAAACCGCATCAGTTCGCGAGACAGACTCGCCACGAGTGGCTCGATCGTTTCACGGGAGAGAGCGAATCGTCCGACTTCTCTATAAAAACGCGACAAGGAATAAGAAAAAAAAAAAAAGGGAAGGAAAAGAACAACCGGTGGAAAAACTCGATCAGAGATAACTCGACCAAAGATAACGAAAGGGGATTGAAATCGAATTGGGACTGTAAATACCACCCAGGCTGGGCAACGGAGCTCGTAACGAGCCTGGACCATCGATAATTAATTAATAAAGTGTTGAATAATTAATTACAATTTCGAGGCGCAACGGGGAGGAGAGAACTGTCAAAGTGACAGCCCGGTCCCACGTGGCTCGCGTCTGGGAGAGATTTTTGGAATTCGAGGCGGTTGAAACTCCACTTTTCGTCTTTACTGCATCTGGCTGCATCCGTTGCATCTTGAATTGTGCATTTTCCCGAGGGGAGGCCAGGGGGCCGAAACGAGGCTCGCGGATCTGGAGGTTGCATGAATCTCGAGGGGATCTCGGCTCTGTGCAACAGGAAGAACGTGATCTTCGTGGTTCTGTGTCTGGCGGTGTTTTACGTGCACCTGTTCCTGAGGTCGCCGGCCCAACAAGGAAGCCTCAACAAAAGGCTACTCTACAGATAGATCGAAGCGACCCTCGAGAACCGAGCCCTGCATCGGAGTGCGCGCCTCCTCGAATTATGCCGAGCTGAGAAGACTAGCAATTATGTGGAAAGTGCCTTGTTGCATACTTCTCCTCGGTATTTCGATCAGCGTCGCCCTTGAGTCAGCGGATGCCAGAGGAGTGCGCGATCGTCGGGTAAGTTTAGATGGAAAACCTCAGCGGGCCAAAACCGGGCCATTCCCCCTTAAAACTCTCAAAATACCACAAAATACCTCCAACAAAAGTTGTTCCTCATTTAATTACAAAGAATTTTCCTATGAGGAATTTTCCTCCAGCTCATACGCCTCGCCCGGAAAAATTAAACAAAGTCCGCGAGGAGGAGCATAAGAGGAGCGCCGAGCGGAGGGGGTCGCTAGCCCGTGAAATTCTCGAAATATCAAAAAATACTTCCGATAAAAGTTGTTCCTCGTTCAATTGCAAAGAATTTTCCTATGGAGGGTTTTCGCGTAGCTCGCGCCGTTCCCACGGTGGATTTAAAGCAAGTCCGCGAGGAGGATCCGGAGGAGCGCGCGCTCCAGCGATGATCGCACCTGGAGAAACCGTATTTTAGGTGTCGGATAGTTTTTTAAACGTTGCAAAAAGCCGGCAGGGACTGGCGGAGAGAAAGAGAAAGCTGGCACGTGCAGTTAGCGCGGAAAGTTCGAGACTTTATTACGCTTTGTCGAGCGGCGACTCGTTACGAGACCGCGGCAAGGTGATCGGAGCGAGCGGACGCGTAGAAAAGAAGTGTCGAGTTGTTGAACTTCGCGAAAGGCCCGTTGCTAAGGATTTATGAACCCGCGCCGGGGGGAAAGAACTCGGGTAATGACAACGACCGCGGAAAGCCCCGCAAAACGTCCGTTGAAAACGCGGAATTCCTCGAGTGAAAATGCCACCTCCACCAACGATCGAACTCCGCCACATAACTCGTTCCAAAATGACCCCACGGAATACTTTGTCCCTATTTAAACGATTACCCGAGTAAATCACTCCACCGAGCCACCCAGACGGTACCATTTCCCCTAACAAACTATAAACGTCGACATAAAAATTCAACAAATGCCCTGTTACAATATTTTCTCTAAAATGACCGAACGATTCCTTTTCAA